TATTGAGTATGAAAGTCGCTTTGGATAAAAGCGTCTCACAAGTAACATGTAATGTAACAGGAAAGTGATGAAAATGTCTGACAAATTGAAATCCTACATTGCTATCCCCAAACTGGCAAACTTCCATTTGATTTCAAAGCACTAGCTTTTAAACAGGTCTAGCCCAAGTATGTGTGAAACAGCAGCTTTTAACAGCAGCAGGTTAAATTAAATGTGGTGTCTCATGTGTTACACCCTATTTAATACGCTCTATGGTTCCACCTGGTGAGACATTTTACGGGCAATGTGGCAGGTGAAACAGGACTGTGCCCCCCCCCCCCCCCCCCCCCCCCCCCCCCCCCCAACACCATCCACACTGCTCTCATATTCATGTACCACATCTGTCTAACCAGATCTTGGGATGTGTTCACTCTGCCATGGCTCTCTAGTATGAATTATAAACAATCTTGCATGTACTTTGAAAATATTCCCTCTATATCAACACGAAGAGAGGCTTTTTTGCAATCTCATTTTATATAATTTTTACTGTGAGAGACTCAAATCCATTGATATTGAATTCATTTTAGTGGTTCAAATCTATGGTATATCTGTTTTATAAAAAGAAGACAAACTTAATTTGTTATCACTAATTCAAAATTATAATTTAAAAATAGCTGTATGAATCAAATCAAGTCAAAAAATAATAATAAACCACAGTTTACATCATAATAAAATATGTTTTGTTTCATTAAATGGGTCCCAATCTTTGTTATGTAACCACATCCATTAGAAGGTAGCAGCATATAAACCATAGACTGTTTAAAATAGATATAAACACACACACACACACACACACACACACACACACACACACACACACACACACACACACACACACACACACACACACACACACACACACACACACACACACACACACACACACACACACACACACACCACACACACACACACACACACACACACACACACAGACACACACACTGTAAGCACTTTAAAAGCTTGCATGTGTAATGACCTGAGGAATACTGCTGGGAAATGTAGAGTATGCACACGAATGAAGCCACTCAAGCATCTGTAACATGTGGTTGTGTTAACCTTTTCCTTTTGAGTATTGAACAGATGTGGTAGAGACGTCAATCACCTTAATAAAACATTTCATTTCTATTTTTAGCCCATATGTAACGGTTACTGAAATGCAGTGCAAAGTATTACATTATAAAGTTTATTTATGTTATATGTGGTACAGTTTTAAACTTAAAGGGTAATTCCCATACAAAACATAAGCACACCAATAAGAAGGGAAAATAGGCGTGTGTGCACTTTACATTTATGGATCCATTTTGGTTTAGTTTGTTCGACAGGAGGAAGTCAAATTGTTTACTGGCAGCTGCAATGCAGTTTGAAAGGAAAGAAAATTACATTTGCTTATCAACCGTACAAACACCTTTTAAAATTAAAGACAATTGGCGATGGGTGAAGTTATCACTATGTGCAATGGTAAACATGAAAACTAAGTGTTTGTGGGAAATAAAATATGAATGTGTAGAAAATGTAGCTACTTAGATATTGTGCAATTTAGGAATGGCATATAATTTACTCCATGGATGAATCAAATGGCATTGTGAGGGAATGTGGTGATGTAGACGTGTGGTTATTTATTCTTCAGTGGCTGATCTTTTTATTCTTTTTTACTGTAAATCTTTGGGTATAACTTTGTGTTTAATGTATAGATGCCTGATCTTTTACAGAGCTATAAGGCTACCTTGGCCAGGTCTCTGCATTTGATTTTTTATCTCAATGGGACTTCCTTTAAAAAAACAAAACAATTGTTTTTGTTGAACAATATTTCCATTCCATTCCATGTTTTGGTATATTGGACTTTTAGATATTAATGTATGTTTTTTCACAGTTTATAGCTGTTTCCACATGTGTCCTTAACATAAATACGTTTGTGTAAGGGACATCTCTCTGTGGCCGAGTTTATCAATCCAAAATAAAATGTAAAACATGAGTGTTTAAAACGGTAGCTTATGGATTTCTTTTAAATAATTTTGTATTTTTATGTACTTAATGTCAAATGAGAAACAGGAAACACACTCAGCTTGGTTTGGTTTCATATCAGTTAAGTTCAAATCGCAAATAAACAGACTGGTCTATACACAGCATTGAAAGTGATTGGGTTAAGGGGGCATCTCGTCCCCTAAATGATAATTAGACACCAATAAACATGCCAAGGAAATTATTGTCCCATATCCTGTATTCAGATTACAAACCTCTGCCATCAGATAGGTGCTTTAGGGTTCAAACAAAATACAAATAACAACTACATACAAATAAATAATCAATACATGAGAAAGTGCCGCAAAACAATATTTCATCACTCTATCAGTAAATCTCACTCAGGAAACAGGGTGTGAAATGAGGGTCTGAATTGGAATGCACTTTACGTCTGTTACTGAACTTTAATTTTTGTGGTTTTAAATGGTCCACTGTTACACAAGCTGCCACAAATAATACAACTCAAAATGTATATATACCACTGAAAATGTCAATGGGGTTTAAAGGTTATACTTCATCTCATAACTTCGTTTTTAACAGCATCTGAATACCAGCATTTGCATTCAGAAGGCCTGTGTGTGTGTGTGTCTGTGTGTGTTTATATTTCTGATTTAAAGCCCAGCCTTCCTCTGAGCCTTGTGCGTCGCTTCAATGTTTGATGGTGGTTGATTGCTTCACAAGATAAATTCATGAGTCAACTTTTGCCCTCGCTGCACACGCACAAATGCCCAACCCAAACAAATCCCTTGAAATCTGGAAGAGAAACAGACACTCGGGAGCAGCTGCAAAACAGGATGCCCTTGAGAACAGGACACCCCACCCAACATAGCCTGAATAAACATTTTTCGTCAGAGAGCAGAGGGTGGAGCAGGCACGGGACACAGGGGGAGACAAAGAGAGGGGCACACAAGGCCAAGTAAAGGTTTGAGGTGTCGGAGTACTCCCACTGCCCTTGTTTTAAACATCACTAAGGTACATGCTCAAGACATATTGTAAAAGCCCAACCGGAAATGGATGTGACTATAACATCCACAGGGCTGTGATCAAGTACGCCTATGTTAAGTCATATATTCAGTGCAAGTATCAGCAGTTTCAAGGTTGATTCAAGTCCAAATGGGAAGAACACTAATCTGTTCATGTTACATCTGCTTTGCATTGCATTGCTGTTAGATCATGGTAGCGCTTCCTCTCCAGTTTTTTTATTGCAGGAAAGGTCACATTCCCTTACATTTAAAGAGCACTCGGAGAGAACAAACTCTGCCAAAATCAATAGTTCAGTCTACTATGATGTGCAGATCTGTAAGTGTTTTTTAATAGCAGACATTTTAATCAGAGAATTCACATTTGGATGTGCGTCTGAGAAGGATTATAAATGGTTATTTAGCCCATTTTCCGTGGTAAAAATAATTAATTTTTGCATCAGTAATTCGGATCCACTCCAAAACCTTCTTCCATGAAAGTTTAATGAAAATGTTAATAATTGTTTTTCAGTAATCCTGCTTACAAATAGACAAACCACCAAAAAAATCTAAAAGTTCCTTGACTGATATATAACGCATATGTTTGCACACATTGTGTATCTAACAGACTATCAAACAGGCTTTATACTATACTCCAAAAGGTTGCCAGCTAATATCATTTATGAAAAGATATTGTACAATGTCAAAACTAAACCTTAAACCCTGACTAAGATTTTTTTTTTTATCGTTGTGATAACGACTAACCCTCAGCAGAAAGTGTCAGAAATGTTCTAGTCTGCTGGATGTTTAAAAATAAATCACATAATTTTGCCTACAAGCTGTGCACTAATAATACACTCTATTATCAGTCATAAGCTATTCTCCCCTCAAAGGTTTTGGACTATTTAAGTGCCTTTGAGAGTTTTGGTAAGAAATGACTACTAATTTCAGAATCTTTACAGTGCTTTAGGATCAATTGACGCTCAAAAATCATTCGAAAATCACAAGTTGAGGCTTTTGGGGATGGGGAAGGGGGAGAGTTGCTCACAGAGGGCTGAAAGTAGATGGCGTAAGACGGAGCAAAGGAGCCAGAGGAGTGCAGGAGGAGACAGTGGAAGCGTGGGTCGGCCCCTGAGACATGTACTGAGTGGATGTGGAATGACAGCACAAGCCCAATTAGTCTTAGATGCCAGGGCTGCTACAGGGAGGTCGGTGCAAGTGATCAAGCCATTCATGCATTCAAGCTCTCACCCACAGGCACTCTATGCCAACAGCCTGGGTAAAGTTACAGTCTATCACTGCTTCTGCTGGACTCCTCTGATCGCTCTCATACTGCTGCCTCCGCTCTGCTTCCTTCCTTCCTTTCCTGAATCTTTCTTTCCTGTCCTAAAATATGCTGCTTTTAACTTCTTACAATAAGTAAAGCAATAATAAAGCAAATCACAAGGAATTGTTTTAAAGATGATATCCTAATAAACTCAAAATGGAAGAATCTTGTAAATTAAATAAATAAAATGGAAAATATAACCATGAGACTTAGAAATCAAGTTCAAATGTTTGTAGAAAGATGGGGAAATAAGTAAGGTATACCACAGAAAATGACTAATGATCCTCCAGTTAGATGGGACAATTATGACAATGAATGTGGTATCTGTGAAATGAATGCATCTTCTTTGCATATTCCTGTATTTTATTTTATTTTATTTAACATATTAACTGTATTTGTTGTGTGTATGCCTTGTAACAATATGATGTCCTAAACATACATACAATACAATTCTTTCTTTCATTCCCACTTATAGTTGCATCTCTTTTTGGCCTCTTCACTCTATATTTTCACACACTCACTAACACACTCTCTTTTAAGGACATTACCACACTTTATTTGAAAGCCTGTCCATGTCTTAACACCACCACTGCCACTCCCTCTGTCTTCTACACCCTCCCACTGGTTTCCCTTCCCCTGAGCTGGAGTATTACCTCATCCCACTCAGAAGCAAACGATGGCATGCGCTCCATGGACGGCTGACCAGAGCGGCAGTTAGACACGGACCCACTGCGGCCAGCCAGTCCTCCATCTTCCTCTCCTCCAAAAGGTGACGCCAACAAGTCAGAGTCCGACTTGGACAAGCTCCGAATCAGCCCCAGGTCTGCAGGTCTGGCTTTGACCGCTGCCACTGATGTAGACTCGGTTGAAACTTCTCTCGGGTTGTCAATGTCCGCTTCTCGATCCTGGATAACTGTGGCATCCTGCATGCACTCTGCCATTGTTTTGGAGCTGCAAAAGTGCAGCTCAGGGTCCTCCGTTTCCTGCAGAAATCTCACTTGTAAAGTCAGTCCAGAAAGTGATCCAGAAGTTTTTAAACCTCTAGTTGCAGTCCTGAAAAACACAGATTAATGAAATATTTGTAATTTGAGGAATTTGCCTCCAACTCCTACAAAGTGCTCCTGTCCGGAGGGAGAGGAAGCATGTAAGTGAAAGACTTGTTGTGCACAGAAACAATCATCAAGGTCCACCCACTAGTTGTATCCTGTTGCCCTCCCCTTAGTGGCTGACCGCCTCAAAGGGCCTCCTTTATCCTCTTAACTGTGGCTTTTTTGGTCTCCCTTCTAAATAGTCAGTATCTTTTCTTCATTCTTAAAACTGATGGTTAAAGACTTGAACTGACTGCGCTGGAATAAAAACAGTCTTCATTTTTAGCATCCTCTTACCTGCTGACTCTTGTAGCCTTGCTGCTTTCCCTGCTCCTTGTTTCAGTGTCTGTCTTGGTCGGAGGTTGTTTCCCAGACTCTCCGGGAGGACAGGCTCTGTACCGTTCTGAAGAACAGAGGACGGGAGGATCCCAAAGCCGGGCCTTATTCAGACTGACAGCTGGGGTAATCAGGTTACTGAAGCACTGGGTGGCTGCTCCATTTAAAAAGGAGGGAGAGTCGGGATTCCTCTTTTTCTGGGTGTGTGTTTGTGTGTGTGTCTAAGGGTGTGACTAGTGTCTGCAGGAGAATAAGGTTACTGAGTTGGAAAAAGTACAAAGATCTTTACTTAGGTAGGCGTTTGTAGAGTACGAGTAGGTAAGTATCAAACAATGGTTTTCACATAATAAAGACTGACTTTTTTCAGAATAATACACATAGTATTGATAATAGTTATTAATGTACCGTATGTATTTTAAAATAATCTGCTGGTAATGATGGAGCTAATACTTGAATTACTAATACATCGTGATTTATAACCACTCAAAACAAAAAATATGTTTTTTAGCTTGAGAGTTTTTGTGTTTGTGTCATAATGGCAACATGTTGTCCTGGAGGAAACTGGGTGTGTACACAGTAGAGGTTTTTGTAATTTGCCTGGTGTTTATGTCTGTTTGTCTGTCTGTCTTTCTGTCTGTGGACAAAATGTGTCACCACAAAAGTGTGGCAACCATTTAAGACGCAGTCATGACACTTTACAGATGTGTATATCTAAAATGGGCCACCCCATTTCACCAATCTGGCGCTGCAACATGGTGTGATTCTCATCGCAGGAAAATCTCTAGTTATTTGATCATATTTATTAAAAATAAGAATCCGTAAGTAACTAAAGCTCAATGTAAATTCAACGTAGTGCTGCACACATTATTATATTTGCCCCCAAAATCTGTTGAATAGAAGTAAAAACGGAAGAAAATAAATAGCTCTGTTGGAGTACGAATAAATTACCCTGAAATAGTAACATTACTTGAGTAAATGTACTGAGGTATAGCCACAACTCTCTTTCTCTATTCATCTATATTATCTATGATCCAATGACCTGCAGTGAAGCAGACAGCTTAGTGTTTCCCTCTCGATGCCTCTCCTATTTTTCCTTGGTAAGATCTGTCTGAGCAACCCATTTAATCCCATTGGTCACAATAGTGACTGTAAAACATATTTTCACTTATAAGGCTCTATAAATGTTACTGAATTATATATCAATGTATTTCCAGAAAAGATTGGATAAATAAAGGGTCTGTTAACGTAAAGATAGTACAATGATTTTTGGTAAACATAATCTTTAAGGTATCTAGTATTTATAAATACATTTGCAATACGCACTACCTATGCATGTGAGAAATGCAAAGCACCACTTGAGTGCTTCAAGATGTACCATGGACAGTAGAAAGGGAACTATAAGTGAATGCAAAGAGGCTGTAATAGCTATAAAAAACAACAAAGCAGACCCAATAAAGGCTGTGGAGATGCAGTACGAAGGACAAGTCCATGACAAAGGGGAAAAGTCCAAAAGGACTGGAATGTTTTGGAAAAGAAGTTCAAGTTAATCAATCAGTAGATTGTAGTTCAAAATAGTGATGCACTAACTAATCGTGCACTTGGTTCTAAAGCCTATGATATATATATTGCATTTTTGTTCAGTGTAGGACGCCTATTCTACATGCTACCTTTTCTAAATGTCACCTTTTATGTTCAATGTGAATGAATCACACAACTGGCTGTACAGTTGTTTGTGAATGTTGCACTAAAATATCAGAAAGACAATGTTACAAAGAATATTGCACTAAAGTAAAAGTTCAAATGTTACAACAGATGTATAATATTAATGTTTCAATACATGTTGCACTAAAATAGAAATGTTGAAAAACCTTGATGGTTGTTCATATTGGTGTTCTGATATGTAAAAAGTAGAATTTGATGGGGATTGCCAGTGACAGAGTTTTAAATGTGTAGATAGGCTGGGATCTATACAAATGTGAATGACTGCATAGGAGAAGTATGCTAATTCCATTATGTATTTTCACGGCAACACATAATCCCACCGGTCACAATTGTGACCGGCAATAAAACATAATTGTTCAACTACTTTTCCATGAATTTTTTTTAAAACAATGATTGATTTTTTCAAAGGGTTATTAATGACACAAGATTTGGATATTTTCATGTCTGGGAAAAATGTGGGATTAAATGGGTTAATACGTTTTCATGCTCATATTTTACAGTCACAAATCCAGTCCAGGCCAAGGTGGTGACACTTCACAGTGGCTAAAAGCTAGGGCACATTACAAATGTGTTCTCTATTTCTTTGTCATATACTTGAAGGAAAATATCTCACTGATATAATTTACCACACAATAAATGCCATCAAGTATTTTCATTGTGAATTGGGTGTATATCGAACAATGAACTCTCGGGATCTGCAGAGAAGAAAAAATAAATCAAGATAAGAAATTGATATGGGAGGAATGTAGAATACGAATCTCACAGACTCTGTGCTATTCATGCCTCTTCTCAAAGGGAGTTGAAGCTGACAAAAGAGTCTCTTGTGAGGCATCCTTAGTATTCACAGGCAACCATCGCAGTGCACAGCGTCAGAGCGCCTCTGTGCCCTCAATCAGCCAAGTTCCTCGCATGCTCACCTCTTCCCTATGGGCAGCGCTGGTATGTGCATGACAGAAAAGATAACATCCTTCGCTCGCCAAGGAGGGTTCACACAGCCATACACTGCTTAGCTGGCAACAACAAAAGCCACATCTAATGAAGCAAGATTAATTGCACAATTAATGATCTCTGTGACTGCAATGAGGATGAAACAGTTTAAGTTATCCACATCTTCTGTGCCATTTTTAAACAATAGACGCCCTGGAATACAACATGTTTCACGATAATGATGTCTTCACGGCATATTAGAGCGACTAAAATAAAACATGCATCCCCTCCTTCAGCTGGCTGGCTGCTGAGCCGCGGGCTAAAGACAGTGGTGACTCATGAACACTCTTCTCCAACAAAGACATGCACACTGTGCAAGTCACAGAAAGTCAGCGTGTACAGTAAACACACACACTGGAGTGCAATGTTTTCATGTGCTCTGTGTTTGTGCGCCCCTATATTGTTTTTGCTCCCTGACACACAAATGACTTTTCAGGATTATTGTACAGGTTTGTGACATGTTTTCCACCTGCTGTATACGTCCCCAGCTCCACACTTGACATTTTTAATAACACTGCCCAAGATATAAAACCACTTTTCTCACCAATCTAGCCTATAAATCGTTATCCTTCTCTGCAATTTGGTGCCCTGCAGTTCCTGCCTGATCAGCCGGAATTGCAGAGAAGAAGAAAGAGGCCACTGGGTAAGAATCTAATAAAGTTATCAAACTCGGAAGCTATTAGGCTTTAAAACAAATGTGAAAGTGGGCAACGAAACTCCAAAACAAGCCTCTCATGAACACCATAACATGAGCTGTATGATTCCCTGTATGCCTGGGAATATACAGACCTGAATGACAGTTATATGCTTCTCTATTTGAAATCCCATAGTGCTTGTTTTTCTCCTTGGAGAGTTTGAGCGGACGTTAACCCCAGTGTCACAGACAAGAATGCTCTGATACTCATCCTTAAGGTCATCTGTTCCCTGAGGCACCAGGGATGCCATTCATCCAGGCTTTCATTTTCAGAGCCCCGAAATGTGGAAATTCAAACCGGAGAGAAATCCATGAAATAATAAGACAAGGTTAGAAGCCTAAAAGTCTATAAATAATGAGGTCATTTACAGGCCAACAACATCAACAGAACATACGTTTGAGAAACACAAAAAGACATATTAGGCAGTAAAAGAGACATAATTTGACTCGACTCTGTGGAAATCGAGCACAGGTGTTTGCTTTTGAAACAACACTCTTCAAATATGACTTAATTGTAAAGGCAACTTCAAGGTTGAAGGAGAAAATAAATGCCTTCATTGGATGGCAAAACTACCTGCTGTTAGCTAAGAATGGCTAAAGATGCGGCGCCTGTTAAAGCTTTCCAAAAGACAAGAACAGACCTGACCTCTCGGCGGGGAAATAGGAGGGCAAGTGTGCATGGCTGAGTGAAGATGTAGCGCTGGATATCCATCAGTGTTAGAGAGTGGGAAAGAGACTGGAGGGTAGAGATACAATCTTCTCTCACAATCTAACTGGGTTTAGTTGCTAATCAAACTGGGTCAAAGGTCAGTAAATGTCCTCAATTGCCCTTTCACCAATGCAATTTCTATAGGTTATTGGAAGATTGGCAAGAGGTTCCCCACAGTGAAGGGATCTGACAACTGTCTACTGGTGGTTTTATGGCAATTAAGAAAGGCTTGGGGGTCGGTTGGTTTTAGAGCGACCACTTTAAAATTAATTAATTGATTGCATAAAGTTTGGTACAGACATTCATGGTTTCCAGACGATGAATCCCAATGACTTCGGTGATCTCCTGACATTTATCAGTCGGTCAAAGTGTTCACATTCACAGTGATTTATCTCAACATCCAGATGGTTGGCACAACAATTTGCATTGATGCATTGTAATGTTGTATCCAATCCAATCCAATCCAACTTTATTTATAAAGCACTTTAAAACCTCAAGACCAAAGTACTTTACAAAGAAATACAACATCACACAGCCCAGCTCACAAAACAAAAACAAATATAGATAAGAACACAAAATAAACAATAATGAAA